CCCGAAACCCTAGCCCGCCTGGCCAACATCTGCTTCTTTGAAAGCTTCAAGCTTTGACGCAGGCCTGAGCGAAAGCCGGAGGAGTCGGCAGGGTTCAGGGTTTAGGGTTCAGGGTTTAGGTTTAGGGCTTAGGGTTCAGGGTTTAGGGTCTAAGATAGGGGACTTCATGATTAGAATAGGGTTTTGGGTGTCCAAAGTATTTTTTTTAATAAGGAGCTGGAGCTCCCAAAACCTTATTCGAATGATTAAAGCACCTCTTGAGGGGATTTGAATCCTAGACCCGAGATTTCAATCCCAGGTGGAGTCCGTCGACTTCATCGAAGCATCCAGCGAGCCTTTCTCCCTGCCGGAGCCCCTGCGGGGCCGCCTGGGCACGCAGGAGGGCGCCCGAAGCTTGCTGCGTTTGGGCTTTGGGGTATCTCTCCTAGGTAGGCCTTGGGGACCCTAAACCCTAAACCCTAATATACGGTTTAAGGTTTTGAGTTTAGATTTCCTTTTGTTGGGCATATAAGGATTCTATTTCACGACTCTTTTTCAAGAGGATGTAAATGGCGAACCTCGTCGCAGACATCTTATGGCAACAGTCAGCGACACGATTTGAATGTGAACTGAATTTCGGGTTAGGCTTTAGGGTTGCAGGTTAGGGTTTAGGGCTTAGGGTTTAGGGAGACTGTGGCTCATGGTTCCGACCCCCCTAAAAAAGCCCTGGGTGCTGCAAGCCCTAGGCTTGGTCGGAAAAATCTAGCTATGCCTCTCTAGTATCCCCCGATAAGCCTTACAGATATCTGATATCGAACCCCTTAAGCTCCCTGAACAACCCTGAGCGCTCAACCCTCAACCTCAAACTCTCAACCCTAAACCCTAAACGCCCTAAGCCCTAAAAGCCAAACCCTTAACCCTGAACCCTGAACCATCAACGCTCCCCTAAACCCTAAACCCTAAACCCTAAACCCCCCCTGGGAGGAGAGTGTTGGGCCCCTCCGCGGCCGTGTTTCCATGGTCGACCCAGGGCTAATCCGGCAGCATATCGAGGACGGAGCACCCAGAGACTCCAATACCGCTTTATTAAGGGTTAGGGTTTAGGGTTTAGGGTTTAGGGTTTAGGGTTTAGGGTTTAGGGTTTAGGGTTTAGGGTTTAGGCTTAATTAAGGAATATACCTTAAATCTTATTTGGGATCCTACTTTAATTTTCGGTATATTCCTTAATTAAGGGGTACTGGAGTCTCTGAGCAAGCATAAACTTACGAACATGATTCCGTAGGGCTCCTTACTATCCATCTACTACAACTTAGTTCCCCAATACCCAACCTTTAGACTTTTCGGGTTCTTATACTTTAGTAGTAATCTGAAAGTTTAACCTTTTATTTCCCTGGCTTATTGGCGAAGTAAGACAAAGAAGCCCAAAACCCTGTTCTAATTATGCAGATTCCTTAGGGCTCCTTAGAAATTAGTATAGTGCAAAGGAGCCCAAATCACTGTTCTACTTGCGCAGCTTCCTTAGGGCTGCTTAGAATTAATATAGTATAAAGGGGCCCAAAACCCTATTCTAACTATGCAGGCCCCGACATTAAGTGGCGAAAGGCTTTGGTCGGGGGTTCGGAAAATAGGGTTTAGGGTTTAGGATTAGGGTGTAGGATTTAAGGGTTTAGGGTCCAAAATTCAAGGCCTGCAACCCGGAATTATAGTTGTTTGATTAATTATATTCTTGGTTTTTCAATGAAAGAACAATTAAACAAACAAATACATAAAGACATAAATAAGCACATGTATAAATACACAGATGAATAAATCAACAAGTAAACATACAACCTACACGCATAAACAAACAGATGCAGATATGCAGAGAGAATTCACTCATGCTTAAAGGGTCATGGGACTTGGTAAGTAGGGTTATAACTAAGGTATCTATACTTATAGCCCCAATTAGGGCACTTATGACCTTACTTACTAAGTCCCATGATCCTCCGAATGAGCTCGACTCCCCACATAGCGTTTGAGGGTTTAGGGTTGAGGTATCAACCCTCAGAGCCTTCTGCCAAGAGGCCTCCAGAAGGACCCTCAGCCCTAAACCCGAGACCCTAAACCCGAGACCCGAAACCCTTAGCCTCAAACCCTAAACCCTTAGCCTTAAACCCTAAACCCTAAACCCTACTAGACCCTAAACCCTAAACCCTTAACCCTAAGCCCTAAACCCTCAACGCTACTAGACCCTAAACCCTAAACCTCAACCCTTAAGCCCTAAAACCTAAGCCCTCAACCTGAACCCTTAAACCCTAGACCCTAACCCTAAACCCTGGAAGCCTTGAGCGAGAGAAGCCCTGAGTCCTAGAAACCCTCAACTCTAAACGACCCGAAATCCTAGAATGTTGTAGAAGCCCTATATTAGATTTTAGGGTTTAGGGTTTAGGGTTTAGGGTCCTAGAAGGCCTAAAACGACCCTACTTCCTAGGATGGTCCGAGAAGCCCTAAGCTGTAAACGGCCCTGAAAGAGGCCCACGAGACTCGGAACAACCGGCTCGTTCGGGCTATGTCGTCGCTTCAGAGCGTCCCCGTGTTTGAACGAATCAAGGGTTCGGAGGGTTTAGGGTTTAGGATCCTAAACCTTAAGCCCTAACCCCTAAACCCTAAACCCTTTAAAACCCCAAACGCTTCTTATGGGGTCTTTGGCCGGGCATAGCGCAGGGCGCCGTTTGTGTTTGGGGTTTGGAGTTTAGAGTCTAGGGTGTAGGGTTTAGGTTTTCCGGCTTGGGTTTTGGGGTTTAGGGCGTTATGTAATGCTATGCGGACCTAGTCTTTTGTCAGGATCTCGCTTATGACCCTCGTCTATCCTGGTGTATTCCTATGTTATACCTGAGTCAGTACAGGCAGCTTCAAACCCTAAAACCCCTAAAGCTGTAACCCGTAAACCCTAAACCCGAAACTCTAAACCCCTAAACCCGCTTTGTCGCGGGTTTAGGGCCTTGGGATTCTAGAGCCGACAGAGAGCTTCTGCTGCTTCTGGGTCTTGGGCTTGAGGGTGCAGGTATAGTAGACCCTAAAGCCTAAACCCTAAACCCTAAATCCTAAATCCTAAACCCTAAACCCTAGACCCTAAACCATAAATCCTAAACCCTAGACCCTAAACCATAAACCCTAAATCCTAAAGCCTAAAGCTTAATCCCTAGACCCTGATACCTAGCCCTAAAAGAACGCGCTGAAGCCCGGCTGGGACGTTCCTGCCGAAACTGTATGTTTTAGGGCTGTTGCTTCCTCATTTTCGGGTTTAGGCGGTGAGGGTTTAGGGTTCGGGCTTGTCCGAGCCTTTTGCAGTTTTGGGTCTCGGTTTAGGGTTTTCTGCCACTTTTGGCAAAGAGCTTGTGGGAATCAGCGAAGAGCACTATCATTTCCCCGCATCTGGTCGTCCGGTGGCTGTCCTGCTAGTGACAGAATTGTATAGTAACGCCTCTGCGGTTAGGATGATTCCCTAAACCCTAAGCTAGAGTTTAGGGTCTAGGCGTTGAGGTGCTTCCACGCCCAAAGTTCCAGCAACCGACGCTCAACAAAGGCAGACTTGCGGACGCGGGCACGGGATGCGGTTCAGTCTGGCGTTTTCAACGCCATGATCTTGTTCCTGCGCCCAGGCTACGTTAAATGTCTGGAGTTGACGAAGCCCCGAATTTTAGAAACCTGATTAAGAAGCCCTGGCCCTATAACTCGAATATAGTAGGGCCCATATTAATGAAACCCTGGCCGTATGACCCCATTTTTTTGTAGGATTCATACTAAGAGACCCTGGCCCTAAACCCTAAACACCTAAACCCAATATATGAAGATTCATATTAAGAACCCCCAGGAAGGCCCAGGGTTTCTTAACCAGCTTCCTCTACTAAGCCCTTCGAGTGAGGGAGCTTTGGTGTTCTGAACATGAGTTGCGGTTGAACGCTGCAGAAGGGGCTTTAGGGGTATAGGGTTATAGGGTTATAGGCTTACAGGGTTTAGGGTTATAGGGTTTAGGGTTTAGGGTTTTAGGGTTATCGGCTTATAGGGTTTAGGGTTTAGGGTTTAGGGTTTAGGGTTATAGGGTTTAGGGTTATAGGGTTTAGGGTTTAGGGTTTAGGGCTTAGGGTTATAGGGCTGTGGGGTTAAAGGATTTAGGGTGATGGGGCTTACCCTAAACCCTAAACCCTAAACCCTAAACCCTAAACCCAAAATAATGTAGGTAATTGTGGTATCTTCCATCGTGTCCGAAGTTCCGAAGGGTTCACGTCTCACTCGAGGTTCTAAGACTTGGAAGGGGCTCCTTCTTTGAAGTTGACCAGGGCCAGGGTTTAGGGTTTAGGGTTTAGGGTTTAGAGTTGAATAGGACCTACAGCGCCAGTGCTTGAAGAGTCTTGGCGTTGCTAGGCCATCGTGGTATCCCGGATCCGGCGAACTAGAAACTCCAAAACCCTAGATCCTAGACCCTAGACCCTAAACCCTAAACCCTAGGCCCTAAACCCTAAACCCTAAAACGGCCCTAAACCCTAAATGGCCCTAAACCCGAAATCCCTAAACCTAAACTATGCAGAGTTTGGTGTTCAAGGCCTAGCCCAGCAATTATGCCCCGAATGCGGCGCGTACGGATATGAAACCAGGAGCCGGTATGACGATCAGAGACTACATATTTCTCATTCTGATCCCTACCCTAAGCCCTAAAGCCCAACCTAAAAGCCTTCTTCTGACTTCAAACCCAAGGATTGTCGTCAATGCCATCTTGCTGGGAGTGGAGATACAAGTGAGCTCACACATCGGCGAAGATGACATACCCTCTTGGCTTCCTGGCTTCTGATCTATAGGTACCTCTATCCTGAGCCCTACACCCCGACCATGAGCTCTCACACCCTGGGCCTTTCACCCCGCCCACCAACCCTCCGAAACCCTGGAGAGATCTTTAACCCCCGACAAGCAGCCTCAGGCGAATATCACTCCCCCGGAAAAAATCCTGCAATCCCTACTAAACCACCCTAAACCCTCAACTCCAAACCCACTAGAAAGCACTCTATGGAAGCCTGCACCCATGCAAGTGGAGGGTTCAGGGCCTCAGGGCCTCAAAGACAGGCTCCGGTCGGGGCCTGGATAAGTATTCTTCCTCAAGGTCCCCTAATATAGGGGCCTAAATAATTACCTACATTATTTTGGGGGGTCCTTCTCATAATTATAGTACAATGGGCCCCAAAACCCTATTCTAATTATAAAGGGCCCTACATTATACATTTTTTGTGCGGACCTCCCCACCCCTCCAGAAAGCTGGGAAGTGTAGTCCCCGCAGCACAACACGCTATAGCACCCCTCATAAAACCCGACACACTTAACCGCCCCGCCCACCCAACCAAACCCTAAACCCTAAACCGGAAAAGAGCCCTCAACAAAAACCTAAACCCTCATAAACTAAAACTCTAAACACTTAACCCCTCCGCCAACCCAACAAAACCCCAAACACCGAAATGAGACCAGACCCTGGTCCGAGTCGACTTATGCAGGGTTCTAGGGTTCAGGGTTTTAGGGTTTTAGGGTTTTATGGTTGTAGGGGTTTTAGGGCTTTAGGGTTCTAGGGTTTCAGGCTTTAGGGCTTTAGGGTTTTATGGTTGTAGGGGTTTTAGGGATTTAGGGTTTTATGGTTGTAGGGGTTTTAGGGTTTTAGGGTTTAAGGTTTAGGGGTTTTAGGGTTTTAGGGTTTAAGGTTTAGGGTTTTAGGGTTTTAGGATTTTAGGGTTTTAGGGTTTTAGGGTTATAGGGTTTTAGGGTTGTAGGCTGTAGGGTTCAGGGTTGTAGGGTTTAGGGTTTAGGGTTTAGGGTTGAGGGTTCAGGGTTTAGGGTTTTAGGGTTTATAGTTTTAGGGTCTTAGGGTTTAGGATGCAGGTTCCACGATCAGGTTTGGATCGGATGGTCTGGTTTGCATATGGATGAACAGGACGTAGGGCCTGTGTTTCAGAGTTTCGGGTTTCAGGGCTTAATGTAGGGGCCTTCATAGTTAGAATGGGGTGTTGGGGGTTCCTCATTATCATTATAGTGTGATATACCCCAAACCTTATTCTAATTATTACGGCCACTATATTACGATTGTCTCGATGTTAGTGCTCAGTGGTTTGGGATTTCGGAGCTCAGAGTCTGGAGTAGAGTGCAGGCTTCTTCAACACAGGCTGGCCTTAGGGTTTAGGGTTTAGGGTTTAGGGTGTAGGGTTTAGGGTTTAGGGTTTAGGGTTTAGGGTTTAGGGTTTAGGGGCTTCTTCAACACAGGCTGGCCTTCAAGATGCTTTCCGTAGTTCAGGTAGCGGTCAGTGCAGGGATCTGGCCTTCGGGTTCCGACTTCAGCTCCGCACGCCCCAATAACGCCGGCAGCCTGTGACCACCGTTGAACACCACACTATGCCCCAAGCCCGAAACTCTACAACCCTAAGCCCCTAGCCTGTATCTTAAGCATCCCAAAGTACGAGACCCTAAACCCTAAACCCTAAACCCCAAACCCTAAACCCTAAACCCTAAACCCTAAACCCCAAACCCTAAACCCTAAAAGCGCTGAAGCCGAGCTTTCTTCAGAGCCCAAGCTCGAATGCCAGCGGCCAACGCTGAACGAATGAAAACCCTGCTAGTCGTAGCTATCGCTTTAGGGTTGATGGTTTAGGTTTAGGGTTTAGGGTTTAGGGTTTAGGGTTTAGGGTTGATGGTTCAGGCCATGGTCACGATTAGCAATATTGGTATGGCTGCTGTTGTGACGCATGTCTCTAATTAGTCTAATTAGGTATGGTCTCAGTCTTAGCATGTAGTTGCTGGTAGTATGGCCAGTATGGCTGTACCCTAAACCTTAAACCCTTACTGGCCCTTACACATCTTGATGCTATCGATTGAGTTTGTTTAATGCCATTGGGGAGTCTGAGTTCAGGGTCCTGGGCTTTTCACAGGCCCCAGGCCTCAGGCCCCAGCCCCCCGCAGCCCCAGCCCCCAGCCCAACCCACAGCCAGGCCCCAGGCCCAGATTCCGAAGCCTTCGCGAGGTTCATGGTGGTGAACACGGGCATCGTGGGCACCTTGCCTAAACCTTAAACCCTAAACCCTAAACCCCAAACCCTAAACCCCAAATCCTAAACCCTAAACCCCAAACCCCAAACCCTAAACCCGGTTGCCTGGTCATGTCTTGGGCTTTTGGGGGCCTGATGCCCTGAGCCCGAAACGCGGCCCTAAGCCCTTTAGCCCAGGTCGGAGGGTTCGCGGCTGCACGATTTAGGGTTTACAGTGGACGGTTTTGGGTTCAGGGTTTGGGTTTAGGGTTAAGGGGTTTAGGGTTTAGGGTTTATAGTGGAAGCCATAAAGTTGGAATATCATAATCCTCTTGTGCCCTTAAGGTAAAGTATGAGGGGTCCTAGCACGAATCATCCTAGACCCATGTTCCAACTTTCTGGGGTCTGCTGTAGGGTTTAAGAGCGCAGGATCTTGGAGTCGTCGTTTAGGGTGTAGGGGTTTAGAGTTCGGGGTGAGAGGAACTGGAGTCTGTGCGCACACTGACGGCCACAATGCCGGAGCAGCCCTTCCTGCAGAGGTTGAGCAAAGTTTGAGGCTGCGGGGCTTTCGAACCAGGTCATAAAGATCCATGTGGTCAGCACAACGAACCCGTCTCTCAAACAGCACTCCGTTTTGGGGTTTAGGGTTTAGGTCTTCATAAAACCAAGCTTACTTTACCATCGTTCAACCCGCTTGGCTGAAGCCCTTACGTTGTTTTTCTTCAGGGTCTCTCCTGTCGGTGTAGAGGGCTATCGGGTTCAGAGAATGATCGCCAACGCTATCTGCAAAGACCAAGTAGTCCCTAAGCCCTAAACCCTAAACCCTAAACCCTAAAATTGGGCTCGTGTCTCCATCCCGATTGACCTTCAATCCCCAACGAAGCCCTGATCCACAGCAAACCCTGGGCAAGCCTAAACTTTAGGGTTTAGGGTTTAGGGTAACCCTCAACCCTGGGCCCTAAGCCCTAAGCCCTAAACCCTAAACCCCTGAACCCTAAACCCTAAACCCCTAAACCCTAAACCCTAAACCCTAAACCATCAACCCTCAACTCCCAACCCTATGTAAGCTGCCCTCTTCAGGCATCTTTGTGATAGAGATCATTCTGAAACTCGTGGCCTTGGGCTGCCACGAGTTCTGGCGCGGCCCACAGGTGGAGCCGCTATAATATTTTGTGGGGTTCCATACTATAATTATAGTATAATTGCACCCAAAACCTATTCAAAAATATTATTAAGGCCCCTAATATAGCACCCTATCATAGATCCCTTATAGAACCCCTTAAGGATCCCTTTAGGAACCCTCTTCTAGCTACTAAGGCCCCTATATTAGTCCAAGGCAGAAGCCAGGGGAGGGATTTTCCACGCGGCTAGGGTTTGGGGAATTACCATTCCTTTTTGGGGATACCTTATAAAATCCTTAATATATATTTGGTTAAACCAAAAAAAGAA